TTATAATAATAATTAATTGTTAATAAGATTATATGTAAAAAATAATAATTATTATTATTATTATTGATTAGATTGATTTGAAAAATTAATTTTCAACTAAGGGTAGTTGACTTCAAAATATTTTCAATATGTTTAATTTTAATTATAATTTTATTCGATGTTTACTACGCGTGTTTTATTAGAAGACAAACAAACGAAACGACTTGACAACTACTTAAAAAAAGAAAAAAACACTTCCTAGATCGTAGTTGTAAATTCTGTTCGATAGAAGAAGACGATACGAAAATTGAATAATTTCATCGTGGTTTTGTCCTTGGTCGTGTATTAACCCGTTTATATCCACGTGTATTTTTTACTGCGAATACTCTGACGCATCGATCTTCTTCTTCTTCTTCTTCTTCTTCTTCTTCTTCTTCTTCTTCAACAGGGGCCCCAAGACCCCCGTATGCGTAGTTATCAAATACAATTGATGATACTTTTGAAGATATTAGTGTTATTCAATTTTAAATACCATGTGTCCATTTAATTAAAATTATTTAATGCATTTATTATGTTAAACATTATCATCATCGATAAGCGTGTGTTGTAATGATCGTAAAGAAAATGTGGTTATAGTAAAAAAAGTTAGTATTTCTTTTGGATGATGGATTGGTTGGTTGGTTGGTTGGTTGGTTAGTTGGTGAGAAGGAAGAAGACTCGTCCAAAATTTCGGCTACGAAGGAGACCTCTTGGAGTTCATTGACCCGTTGGTTGGTAGTGGTCAGTGATGGTAACGGGTAAGCAAGTAAGCAAGCAAGCAAGCAAGCAAGCAAGCAAGCAAGCAAGCATCAAATAAGTATCAAGCAAGTATCAAGCAAGCAACCAGGCTACCAGTCCATTCGTACGGACACATCGTTCGGTCCTTCACCCGCCATTATCCCGATGGTTACGTACGCTCACGTAGTTGATACACGTGCTCGCAATATATCGTCGCACGATTCTCTCAACACTAACCAAGGAAAATACTATGCGTTTACGGGGAAGACCTCATACGGTGCATCATAAATGTCTCTTCTCTTCTCCCCTTTCCCTCTTCTCAATCATATTTCTTTTTATTTTTTTTTTATATTCAAATTATTCTATCCTTTATCCTATTCTCCATCGATCATTCATTTCATTCTTTCTATTTCTTCTTCTTTCATTTAATATTTTGTTGTATTTTTTCAATATTTTGTTTTGTTTACCTTTTTCGTTTGTTTATAAGTTGATTGAATTTTTTTACGTACAAATGGTTGTGTAATTATGTTCGAGATTATTTAATAAGGATGTTGATTTTATTTAGGTTCATTTGTATATTTTGTTTGTTTGTTAATTCATCCTTGGTTCTGATTAATCATCGATTCAATCACCTATTCACTTTATTTCTTTTTTATTTTGTATTACTTTTGTTTTCTGGAAAGTTTTATCCTTCATCAAGATTAGGTATTATTGATAGATAATCTTTTCGTAAAAAGATACAATATCAATTGGCAATGATTAGAAAATTGAAAAGATTTCTTTAGAATCAGATAAAAATCGATAATAAATCTGCGATAAATAGATGATAGGGAATAGGTCATTGAACTATTATGTATATGTAATAATAAAATAATTTAATATATATATATATAAAGTTAGTACAGTTTATCTTAGAAATATTGTACAAAGTAAATGAACTTAAATTCATTTACAAAATAAAAGAAAAATTATTTTTTATTATTATTTTTTTATTTTTATTTTGTATTAATTATGTTTTCTGGAAAGTTTTATCCTTCATCAAGATTAAGTATTATTGATAGATAATCTTTTCGTAAAAAGATACAATATCAATTGGCAATGATTAGAAAATTGAAAAGATTTCTTTAGAATCAGATAAAAATCGATAATAAATCTGCGATAAATAAATAATAGGTCATTGAACTATTATAGTGATATATATATATATTATACTGTATATGAAATAATAAAATAATATTAATACAGTTTATTTTAGAAATATTGTACAAAGTAAATTATCTACACCAAATTCGTGTGTATTTAAATTCAATGCAACATTGAACATAAAATAAAATAATTTAAAGAAATTGTATGTGTATGTGTGTGTGTTGGGTTCTTCACATTTGAAATAATATCGGATATGTTTAAATGATAATAATTAATTAATAGCATCATCATACGAATCGAATGATATCGCAATGATTTTTTCGTTGACGAAACGATCGACGACGACCTGATCAACGACCTGATCGACGACCCCTTGCGCAACAATCGCGCGCATCATCATATTTTAATTCTTATTTACGTTTGCATCATATCGCGCATCGTGTGCGCACAAGAAACGAGATATAATAGTAGTGAAGGAAAAAGAAAAAGTTTTATAGAAGAAAGAAAGACAGACAGACAGACAGAGAAAGAGAGAGAGAGAGAGAGAGTGAGTGAGATCGATGTCCTCTTGGAGAGAAAGAAAAAGAAAAAAAAACAAAACGCACCTAATCCGTTTTTCCGCCGGGGAAAGCCTCGGACGTTGAACGCATCGCAATTGCAGTTACTTCGATCGAAACGCATAGTCTATACCGATTAGCAAACTACTAAGTAGACAATTGTTTGTTTAAAATAGAAAAATTATACATTAGGATACCTTTTTATTTATTTATTTATTTATTTATTGATCCATCAAAAAATATCCTGACACAACCTTTTCAAGTTAGTTGCATTTGGTTGCATTTTTGTCTGTTCATTTGATGCATAATTCTAATAAAATGTTTATAAATGATTCGTTCGAAATTTCATTGGTTATTTATACTTTGTTTTGTTTTATTTTATTTTTTAAATCACAAGGTCAAAGCAAGGAAAAAATTTTGTCGAATGGTTCAAAAGGTTATTTATGATCTTTGATGAATAAAATACTCTTCGTTAAATAAGAAAACCTCTCTCTCTCTCTCTCTCTCTCGTATTTATGTATTTGCTTGTATGAAAGAGACAGAGAGAGAAAGAGAGAAAGAGAAAGCACATAAGAAATTACATCGTCGCACGTGGGTTCAACGTAAACTTGTTAACTTACAAAACTTGATAATCCTTTATCAATAATTCACGTAAACGACGATTACGCAAAATGATAGACAGTTTTTTTTTTTTGAAGATTAATTTTTTTTTTACCCATTCACTCGTTACTTGATATTTATTATTATTATTATTATTATTATTATTATTATTTAAATATTAGACATGTGTTGATAAAGTTTCTTCGAATTTTTCGTAATTGGAAAAACTGAGGTTCGTTTCAATTTTTGTTGGAATAAATTAATACAAAAAATTTTATAAAACGGGATAATCAAGTTTGTTAATAATTACAATTAGACATTTTTATTTTACAAAAGGTGTGTTTAAATTTGTAATTTTTCAAATTTTATTAAATCCTGTAATACTATATTATTATAGATTAATAAAGCACTATAATCCAACGTAACCCAGTTGAAATCAACTTGAGTGAAAGTAATCAATCAAATCTTCGTTACTTTTATATAATTTAATAATAAATAAAATATTAATTAATAAATAATAAAATTGATATTATATAACAATAAAATTGTAATATATAATATCGTAATATATATCAGATAAAAATACTTACATTAGATAAAACATAATAAATTAAATTAATATTGGTAATTTGTATAGCTGATAAAGTAGTTTAATAATTTAAAAGTATAATATAATATAAAATAGTAATAGTAATTTAATAGTAGTTTAATAGTAGTTTAATAGTAGTTTAATAGTAGTTTAATTAATTTTAAAAAAGCCAAACAATACAAGTCACAATATTTGACAATTGTCAATCACTCTCAATTTTATTAGATCATTATAATTTTTTTTATTTTCGATGACGAATAAGAAACGCGCCCAAAAAACGTAAGAATTAATAAAAAAAAACAAAAACAAAAACAAAAAGAAATAAAAAAACGTAATGTTTGCGAAGACTTGGAGAATGAACGAGATAAATATGAGTGTGTGTATGTATGTATGTGTGGTTGTACGAATATGAATACGGCACGTGTAAGTACTAAAACTTGTAAAAGATCATCCGAGACGAAGTCGATGATCGAGAAATTCATCGATTAAATTCGTCAAAGGATCATTGATCGCGATGGCCTTCTCGGATTCGTTCGTTCGTTCGTTCGTTCGTTTGCTCGTTTCGTTTCGTTTTGTTTCGTTTTGTTTCGTTTTGTTCGTTTGGGGTCGAGAACAGCGGCAGGCTTTTGCTCTTTGTCCATTTTGTTTGAGTCGAACAAAATTGATCGGCCAGTCAACCTTAACGATTGCGCGAATTATTTCAATCTTGTGTCGGCGTTATCAGACAGCTTTTCTCTCCAAAAGGTTTAAGTTCATTGAAATCTTTAGGCACAAACATTTAAATAGAAACGATGAAACAATTTTAACAAAGAAAAGAAAATAATGAAAGATCATGAAGATTACGATGATCAATATCATCTAGATATATATATTTGTTCTTTATCTTGAAATATTGGTAGTCAATAATAAAACATCACGTATAGGTATAGTAAAAGTACTTTACGAAGCACCTTTGCCACTTGGTAAGACGTAGCGACAAACTCGTTCCAGTTATCGTTCGTTGAACTTTACCGAAGTAACTTTACCGAAAGAAGTCATTAAAACGTAACACACACATACCACATACACCATCTGCCAAATATATCTGCCAATTTTTTGCAGATCATACAACACAACACAGCTGTGTATTCGTCGTTCAGGGTTTCTACGATATCAAAGAATGATTAAACCAAACAAATGTTGGTTTTTTTCTTTTTTTTTTTTTTTAAATATAAATTATTGATAAAAATTCATCCGAAAATTGGAATTGATAGAGAGAAGAATGATGAAATGATTTTTGGTGTTTAATGAGGTATGAAATTAAAATATGAAAGTCCTATTATGTTTGCTCTTCTTGTTCTTGTTGTATTTAGGCATACACAATGGCAAGAGAAATGGCGGTAGAAATGTAAGTGGCGAAGAAGAAGAAGAAGAAGAGGAAGAAAAAGCAAAGAAGGTTATCAGAGAGGGTCGACCCGATTTCTAACGGGCGACCATTCTCGAGGCACCATGAGTGAGAAATAACGGGCTTCCCCAAAATCACCTGGGCCCCGTTATTAGCCGTTAGAAACGAAACCTGTTGTTGGAAACCATAACGCGGATCCTTACGCACGTTTTCGTATAGATAGATCGATAGACAATCTTTCAATCTTTCAATCTTTTTATTTTGTATTTTTTGAGTGTCCAAAAAAAAAAAAATACCTTGAAATTAATTAAATAAAAATATTATTATGAAATTTATGTATTATTTAGAAATGATTTAACACAACGTTTCTATTATTATTAATTAATTTTATTTATTAATTTTCTTTTTTCAATTATTATTTTAATCAATTGACGAATATAATAACCTTGCAATTTTAATTAAATATTATTAAATATTTTTTTTATTTAATTTATATAT